CTTGGTGTTGTTTTCCTTTGGTCCCTTGTGTTGGGAGATCTGTGCACCTCCATGGCCTGAGAGACTATCTCCTTCCCCATATTGGGAAGGTTTTCAGCAATTACCTCCTCAAAAACACTTTCTATCCCTTTTTCTCTCTCTTCTTCTTCTGGTGCCCCTATAATGCGAATATTGTTCTTTTTTGATGGGTCACACAGTTCTCTCAGTGTTCTTTCATTACTACAGATCCTTTTTTATCTCTGTGCCTCAGCTTGTTTGTATTTCTCTTTTGTATTTTCTATTTCATTTACCATCTCCTGTACTGTAGCTAATCTGCTTTTCAACCCCTCCATATTGTTTCTTTTCAGATACTGGATTTTTCAATGTTTGTATCTCGTTGAATTCCTCCATGAGTTCTTGAATATTTCTTTGTATCTCTGTGAGTATATTTATGATTTTTATTTTTAAATCTGTTTCGGGAAGATTGATGAGTTCGTTTTCACTTGTTCTTCTTTCTGGTGTTTGTGTGATTTTGGTTTTAACCAGTTGCCTTTGACATTTCATATTTGTAGATGGCGCCTTTTATTGCCAAGAAGGTGTACTCTCTGGAGCTGCTCAGTCCCTGGATCAATGGCAGGGGTCGCAGGCAAGCAGTACCAGTGTCTCTTGGGAGGAATGAGGTCTTTTCTGATTCTCGGCTGCAGTGCCGGTCTCCACTGCCAGGGCCAGTGGGCTGAGCACACACTTATGCGGGGCCATATGCGGGGCCGCCCTCTGACTGGCCTGGTGCAGTGGCAGGGGCAGGCCATTTTGGGAGCTGGTGCTGCCCGGGAGGAAGGCACACCAGGCTGTATATTGCTGGGGGGCAGGCCTCTCAGCTGCCTAGCCAGCCAGGCAGATGGAACACCTGAAGCTCCTGAAAGTTCCCATCCTGCTGGGTAGAGTGTGCCTGGACCATTTAGTCCACCTGTCCTCTTTCTCCTGAGCAGCAAGCTCTGTGCAATCCTTTCCCCTTTAGCAGCCTGTTAGGAACTCTCTCATACTGCCTGCCTTTCTTTTGTCCCAGAGCAGCCAGTTGTGTACACCTGTTTTCCACAAGTTTCTGGAATCTCAGCCTCTCCAAGTGTTCCGCCTTTCTTAATTTTCCAACCCCACTAATCTGCAGAGCACAATGTAATGTAGGTTCATGCTCCCAGAGCATATCTCCAGGGCTGTGTTTTCAGTAGTCCTAGGCCTCCACCCTGTCCCCACTCCATTTTTCTTCCTTCCTGTGGTGAGCTGGAGAGGGGACAGCTTGGATGCTGTCCTTCTTTGTCTCTTGTTACTTTCTTTGTTTTGAAATCTGTTTTGTCTGATATAAGTACTCCTCCTCCTGCTTTCTCCCAAATATTTGTGTGAACTATCTTTTTCCATCCCTTTACTTTTAGTGTGTGTATGTCCTTGGGTTTGAGATGAGTCTCTTGTAGGCAGCATATAGATGGGTGTTTTTTTAATCCATTTGCCACCGTTAAAGTGTGTTTATGATGACTCCTTTAAATTTATGTAATTCTAACTTCTTTATCTAACATTATATTGTGTAATTCTGGATTTTCTCTTTTGTTACCCAGATGTATTTGTCTGTTCTTATATCACTGTCATATTCATTAGATTATATTAGTTTTATAGAATGTTTAATACATTAGGCAAGTGACCACCACTTTCCCCCCGTCCCATGCCTATATGCTTTTCTTGTTTATTGTATTATATTCCCAAGCATTTATTCACCCATCTTTGAATTCTTGGCCAGGTTTTGGATAATGTCTTCTTTTTGAAGTATTGTTGATATATACAACACAGTGGTTCAACAGTTACCTATATTATTAAATCCTCACCCCCTCTAATGCAGTTACTATCTATCAATATAGCAAGGTGTTACCAAATCATTGACTACATACTCCATGCTATACTACCAACCCTGTTACCAACTTATGTTGTGATTGTGATTGTGAGTTATTGTGTCCCTTTATCTCCCTCCCTATCTTCCCAGCCCATCCCGTCCCCTCTCCCTTCGTAACCACTAGTTTCTCAGTGTCTACGAGTCTACTGCTCTTTTGTTCCTTCTGTTTTGCTTTGTTTTTATATTCCACAAATAAGTGAAATCATACTTTGTCTCCACCTGGCTTATTTCACTGAGCATAAAGATTCATCCATGTCTTTGCAAATGGCAGGATTTCTTTTCTTTTTATGGCAGAATACTATTCCATTGTGTGTATGTACCAGCTCTTTGTACATTCATCTATTGATGGACACTTAGGGTTGCTTATATATCTTGGCTATTACAAATAGTGCGGCAATAAACATAAGGGTGCATATATCTTTTTGAAACAGGGATTTTGTTTTCTTCAGATAAGTTCCTAGGAGTGGAATTAGTGGGTCAAATGATATTTCTATTTTTAGTTTTTTGAGGAAACTCCATACTGCTTTCCACAGCATTTGTACCAATTTACATTCCCACCAGCAGTGTAGGAGGGTTCCTCTTTTTGTACAACCTCTCTAGAATTTTTTATTTCTTTTCTTTTGGATCGTGGCCATTCTAACATGTGTAGTGATATGTCACTGTGGTTTTAATTTGCATTTCCCTGATGCTTAGCAGTGTGGAACACTGCTTCTTGTGCCTGCTGGCCATCTGTATTTCTTCTTTGTAGAAATGTCTGCTCCGTCTTCTACCCATTTTTTAATCAGGTTATTTGTTTCTTGGGTGTTAAGGCATAGACATTCTTTATATATTTTAGATGTTTGCCCCTTATCAGATGAGTCATTTACGAATATATTCTCCCATACTGTAGGATGCCTTTTTGTTCAGTTGATGGTGTTCCATAATGCCTTTTCTACACTGGGTATTTAGTAACTGTTTGGGGAATTGGATTTGCCTATCAGAAATTTGTGTTGGGTTAATTTGCATCTTGGCAGAATTTCTCCCAAACTGGGTGCCATCTACTTAGTTCCACAACCATTGCATGTGTACCATCTGCTTCAGCATTTGGCTATTTCAATGTAATGTTCTAAAAGTCACAATAGAGGTATTCACTAGAAGTTTTGGGAGTACATAGAAGTGCATTTAGTCTGGCCAGAGGTTTGTGAAAAGTCTTCTTAGAAGAGCAACACCTGAGGGTATGTGAGCAGTGACTGACCAAGGAAAGAAAGGCAAGAAAGACCTCTCAGATACAGGAAAAGGCAGGAAGTATAGCAAGGCCATGTGAAGCAGTTTATGGATACTGGAGCCTAAAGATCAAGGGCAGGGAGCAGATGAAGCTGAAAATGTAGACAGGCTGAACTTAAACCAGAGGTGACTGGAGGACTGGAGACCATTAAAGGTTTTTTTTTGTTTATTTGTTTAATTTCTAATGAACTATTCCAGATGTAGCAAAAGATACAAAAATAATGAAATTAGTATATAATAGTAATGTGTTCATAAGTCAACTAAAAATAGAAAACATTACAGATGTATTTGAAACCTTCTGTATAGTTCTAAATTACATTCCCATTCTTCCCTCTCAGAGCTACCTCTTGTGCTGAACTGGTGATTATCATCCTCATGCATTTTTATCCCTTTATTATATAGATAATGACTTACTAAGCAATATATAGTACTGTTTTACATGTTCTTGAATGTTATATAAATGGAATCATATTACATGTATTCTCAACTTACGTTTTTCTCTGAATATTTGCATTGTGAGATCTCTATTGATACATGTAGCTGTTGTTCATTTTACTTATTTTCCAGTGTTGTATGTGAGTATATGGCAGTTTATCCATTCTTGCATGGATGTACATTTCATTGAAGAGTTTCCAGCAGTGGATTACATAGGCAGATTTCTATTTTAGATATATCACTTTGGGTTGGAACGTGGAGGATAGACTTTAGAGGTTGAGATTGGTACAGAGCAGTGATTTGCAAACACTTTGGACTCAGGACCTCTTTATACTCTTAAATATTATTGAGGACCCAAAAGAGCTTTTGTTTATGTGGCTTACATTTATCAGTTTTTACCATGTTATAAATAAAAACTGGAAAAATTTAAAAATATTTATGATTAATTTATTGAGAAATAACAATAATAAACCCATTACATATTAGTATAAGTAACAATTTTCATGAGAAATAACGTTTCAAGCCAAGAAATCTTAGTGAGAAGAGTGATATTTACATTTTGCAAATCTTTTTAATGTCTGAGTTAATAGAAAAAACTGGATCCACAATTCTGCTTTTGCATATTGTGATATGTCCTGTACTCTCTGGAAAAGTACACTCTGCATGTGTGAGAAAGTGAGAGTGAAAAAAGCAAGTAATATCTTAGTGTTGTCATGAGCATTGTTTTGACCTTGCATATGCTCTGAGTGAGTCTCAGGGAGTCTCAGGCTTCCCTGGACCATAACTTTAGAACCACTGTGGTAGAGGTGTCAGTTTGCATAGCCTAGGTGAGAATTAATGAGGGGTCTGAGACAAGGCATTGCTAGGATGCATGGAGTATATATGCATATGAGAGAGATTTCAGAAGAAAAATCTGGAGGTCCCAGAAGGTGGTGTAGCTTTGAATGCAAGGAGAATAATTGCATTCCAACTAGGTACTTGCTTCGCAACCAACCTGTGATGTGAATATTTAGCTAGAATTTGAACTCAGGTCTGTCCAACACAAAGCTCTTTGTTTTACCTAGGGCAGAGTTTAAAAGGGTAATCATGCTAAGGAGGTGCTTCTTGGAGATAGGAGAGAGAAGGGGTGATGCAACAGGGAGATCCTGAAGTGAAGAGCAGGGAAGTAGAAGGAGTTCATTAACCCCATAGGTTGGTCCATTTCAGGGTTATAATGATGGCAGACTTGGCCAGGCTGGGTATTGGGAGAATGGAGGAACCTAGAATGTTCTGAGTCATTGCCAGGCAGGCTGCCCTAAGAAGTTGCATTTTAGCTGAGTGGGCAGGGGAGATGTCCAGAGGAAGAAAGGCCCTCTTCCAGCCATGATTTTGCATTGTTACACTGCAGGATGGATCCATGCTGTGCTCACCCCCGTGGACTGCCTTGCCTTTGGAGGGAACTTTTTACACAGCCTTAACATCGAAATGCAGCTCAAGTGAGTCCTGAAGTTTAGGTGATCCTGCATAGGCCATTTCCATCTGCTGGAGTCCTTGGGTTCTCCCCTGTAGTGAGGTGTGTGCCATAGAAGGAGGAGAGATGATCATAAAGGAATGGATACTGGTTCCTCATGATTTTCAGTGTGAGGATGAATACCTCTTCCTCACTTAGTAGTTACGGGAGTTTGGGAAGGTCACATAACCTTTGAGTCCAAGTCCTAACCCATAAAGTAGAGTCCTACTGGGTAGTTGTGGGAACTGGAGATACTAGATACAAAACATCCAGAACAATACCTGATACATAGTAGGCGCTCAGTAAATAGGATCCTTGTAGTCATTGTTGTTGTGCCTACTTCCTCTAGAGCCTATGAGATTGAGAAGCGGCTGAGCACAGCAGACCTCTTCAAGTTCCCCAACTTTGAGACCATCTGTTGGTATGTGGGAAAGCACATCCTGGATATCTTTCGAGGTATGGAGCCAACTGTTTCTTTTGCCCTGCTCCCCTGAGTGTGTGTGCCTGCATGCATGTAACCATCACCTCAATCAAGATCTAGTACTACTCCATCACCACAAAGATCTCTGTAGTGCTACCCCTTTATAGGTTCATCTACTGTTTACTCCTGCACTATCCATAACATCTGGAAACTACTGATTTGTTTTCCATCTCCATAATTTTGTCATTTCAAGAGTGCTATAAAATGCAATCATACAGTATATGATCTTTTAAGATTGACTTTTTTAATAAGCATAATATAGGTTAGAGCATGGATTTTAACTTTTTTATTTAGCAAAGATGGCTGTGAAAATTGGATCATAGTGAAATTATCTGTATTTCCTGCCAATTAAAGTTAGAAACTCAATCTGGATAGTCCCAGAGTTACCAGGAAGTGCCTCCCATAGGGACAAGGCCCAGTCCTGACCATCCTCACATCATTGTGCTGGTTCCTGGGTATCAGCCCAGGTGGAAGCTAACTTGCTGAGTGTCCTCTTTCCAGTCAACTCTGAAGTAGAACAGCTCCCTTGCTCAGACCTGAGATTTTGCAAGGTGAGTTGGCCAGGTGAAATAAGTATTTCAGAGTTACAAGGAACTCCAGAGGCCATTGAGTACAGTCTTCTACCCAATACCTCAAGCCTTTATTCTACCACCTAGGCAGGCTGTCACTTAAGTGTTTAGTCATCCAGACTCTTTTTGACACTTATTACCTGTCTGAACAGCTCAGTTCAGTAGAAAATTATTTATTGGGCCTAAATCTGTTTTTTTGGTCATAACTTCCTGGAGTAATTCAGAACAAGGGTATTAATGGTCCTTCTGATCTATGTAGGTGGCAGTCATGGTCCTCCTGAGTGTTCACACTTTGAAATTCAAGAGGCAAAGTAGTGTGGTGGAAAGCAGCACAGCCCTCAGATTTATATGGACGTGGTTTCAGCCTTGGCTTTGGCACTTAGTAGGTGTGTGCCTTTGGTTAAGTCTCTTTTCCTCTCTGAGCCTCAGTTTTCCTGAACAAAAATGGAGATGATGATACCTGGCTTACAGGGTGGGTGTAAGAATGAGGTCAAATGCCTGGCATATAGTAGGTACTTGTTAAATGACCACTGCTACAAAAACTCAGATCTGGAGTTATGTTAAGAACCTTGAGGATTTTCTCTGATTTCCTGAAAAATTAACAAGTCCTTCATTTCTCTGCATGGCTTTGTTGACACTCTGTCTTCCTCTTTCCCCTTTTAGGTTTGCGAGAGAACAGGAGACACCCTGCCTCCTACCTGGTCCATGGTGGCAAAGCCCTGAACTTGGCGTTTAGAGCCTGGACAAGGAAAGAAGTAAATAAAAAACTTACTTCTTGACCTCCTCTAGAATTCTGCCCTCCATAGGGACTGGCTTTAGGGAGATACTTTGGGGACATGGAGGAGACCAGGGAGGCTTGTGGGCTCATGAGGTTAGAGTAGAGGACTTGGGCTGGGACTCCTTGGATTATACTTTTAAGTCTTTCTTTCTGATCATAAAAAGTAATACATGCTTACTCTAGAGCATTAGAAAAGTACAGAGGAGTATAAAGAAAGAAAAACATCCCCTAGAATTTTAACATTCAGAGGAAATTAGCATTAACATTTGAGAATTAACATTAACTTTTCTTCTTGTCTTTTTTATATGCATTTTAAAAATATAATTGCTATCACCATGTACATACAGTTTTCCTGCATCACCGTAGTTCTCCATAAACATTTACTAGTTACATGATATTTTTTTTCAGAGATGTGCCATCTTTACATAACCACTTGTTTATTGTTGCTTCCTTTCTATTTATTTGATGGGTAGTTCTGGAGAATCATGCAGTGACTCTCTGTTTGCATGAGTCTTTGTCCCTCATCTGATTGTTTCCTCAGGATAGATTCCTAGAAAAGCAATTAGTGAATTGAAAAAACATAAGGCTCTTGATGTATACTGCCAAAATGGCCTTTTAGAAATATACCAATATTCATCTATCCAATTGAATGCTAAACAGTTATAAAAGAGATTAAGAAAGCTCTTTGTTGTACTGGTTTCGAAAGATATCCAGAATTTTTCAAGTAAAAGTGTAGAACCATGTGTATAATGTGCTACCTTAGGTGTAAAAAGGGGGAAAATAAGAATTATATTTGTATGTACTTGTATTTGCTTGAAGACACAATCTGGAGGGATGCAGAAGACACCAATTAAAGTGGTTACCTGCAGGGGTGGGCTAATGGGGCAGATGACAGGGATATACAGATAATGGAATTTTCCAGTATATATCTTTTTGTAGTGTTTGATTTTTGATCTGTGTGAATGGATTGCTCACTTAAAATGTATTTTTTTTCCAAAACCAATTTTAAGAAATGCAAAAATTAGAAGAAGAAATAACATATTCTCTTATACTTTTTTTGGATGATCAAAGGAATTTAATACAAGAATTAACTATAAAAGTTTAGAGGCAAACTATTTTATATCCAGAGGGTGGGGATCCAAGGACACAGGCAACTTTCAGGCGAGGCACAGGCAGGCAGGGAGTTGGGAGGGCAGGGTCAAGTTTCCTCTATCCAAGAGATGACTCAAGCATCATTCTCTTATCCCTTTCCTTTGTGGGGCCTTCATAATGCTAGACAGTCTATTTTCCTGAAAATTGTCTAGTTATGGTCTAAAGGAAAGATGCTTCAAACAAACATTAATATAAGCTTTATAATGTCTCAATAGAAAGTTATATGCATGGTTACTAATACTCGATTATTTTGTGTTAACTGTCAACTGTGACACTATGTATAAGCTGCTATACAGATAAAGGAACCAGAACAGAATAATAGCATTGATTATTTCTATAATCATCATGATTTTCACAACCCTGAACATGCAATAGAAGTAGACAACAAACTTTTATTTCTGTTAGTAAAGTACTCAAACACATCCCTAAAATACTTAACTTTTGAACTAGACCTTTGAACTAAGCAGAAAATAAGCATTTGCCCTCTCCCATACTTTAAAATATTCATTATATCTACTAGATGAGTGTTGGAATAAAATCCATATTTGTCTCATTCTAGTATATTTATATCTTTTAAAAGCCCAGAGGGATGTTAAAATATTCCATTAAGACTTTAAGTGACAGAAGTGGCAATTATTACTCTAAAGTTAAAAAAAAATCAGTCTAGTTCTTAAGTAGAAGTAAGAATGTTCTTGATTGATACTTGGCCTTTGTTATCCAGAATCCCCAGCAACAGATTCTAAGACTTGTCATGTTAATACTTTTAACAGAATTACATACAACATACATTTATCATACAGGCATACATTTTCTGATGGCTGAAGGAGACTTAAAATCACACATTAACTTGTTAAGTACTTCCAACCAATCACTGAAATAAAAGACACATTTAAAGACTTAAGCCTACGACATACCCTGCCCTTCTTTAAATTCCATTTTTTTCAGACATTTTTCCTTTCCTGCTCATTTTGGCATCTGGGACATGATAAACCCTTGCTCTATCATTTAGAAACATCGAGGTGCAAGAGTCCAGAAACAGTCAACCTGAATTCTGACCAACCTGAATTCTTTTCTGCTGCTCTCAGAGATTCCAGAAGTTTAAGAAATGAGATACAATCATACTGAGAAAGATACTACAGCAAAGGTCGTAGTATCTTCAAATCCTGAACCAAGGATTTAGTCTTGGCTCCAAGCTGGTGCCACAAAGGATCCAGATAATGGCGGATTGTCTTGTCAAAGGATTTTCCAATAGTGTTTTCTAAAGATAAATATTCAACTTCAAGTGACGAGTTATAGCACTTCAGTTCCTTCAAACATGCATTTAAGATGTCCAGACATGAATTTCTAGGACTTTAGGTTTGTGCTGTTCTAAAAATGAGTTTACTGCTACATGGAACAGCAGATGCGCTCACAGATGTCTGTCACGTAATGCTGTTTAGCTTGGCCACAGATACAACTTCCTTATGAAGAGATTTCTCATCATTCTTTCCACGTGACAAAAACCAGTGTCAAAGGCGACAGCATTGTCTGTGAAAGCTTTAATGAAGGCACGTTTGTTTTTCTGGCAGAACAGGCGCAAGATGAATGCTTCCTGACAGGACTTGATGATTGTGAGCTCTGTACACCAAGATGCCAGTAATTAAATCTGAAGGAATTCTATCAGTCAAGAAATCAACCACAAGTATTCAACTGGTTGCAAATATCACACCGCCTTGTGTGTAACCCTCATAGCGACTGTTACTTGGGATTTTATTTGTTACACGGCGTGGGAGGTGTTCCTTCTATCTTCAGCTGATTGATAAAATATTCCTCCTCAGCCGGCTGCGTGTTGAGCACCAGCACCAGGCATGCCGGGTGGCAGTGCTGCCGGAGGAAGTGGTCCGCGCCGAGCCCATGGGCGCACACGGCCAGAGGGTCTGTGCCGAGCAGCTCCAGCACTAGCTACCACTCATACTCCAGCAGTGGTGCCATGGCCGTCGGGCGAGCCGGTAGGCCCGGCTTCATTCTCTCTTATACTTTTGATATGCTGTAGACTCCTTCCCCTGCATACAGTGGCCTAAGGAGACCTTTCAGCTCCTGCAGACTCAACTGGCACAATCTCCCCATTTTCTGTTGCCAGCCTTCCCCTCAGATATCCTTGGACTTCATGTATTGGGCCTTCTTTTGCTCCCTGGACTCACCGCCACCTGGGCCTTGCCTGCTTTTCTTTCTCCACACCTCAGGTGTGGCTACCTCAGGTTTTACCTCTGATCCCACCCCCACCCCACCCCCATTCATGAAGTAAACTTCAAAGTGATTCTGTTTCAGGAACACCAAGAGCAAGGGAAGTGAGTGGGCCCTAAGCACTCATGCACTGGCCCATTAGGGCCCCAGGGACCAAGGGATATCTACAAACAGGATGACCAAGGGGGAGCTGTAGAAGAGTAGGATATAGATCTGAGTAGTCCATGCTCATGGAAAAAGTCTTTTGTGAAATGCAGATGACTTCTGTGGGAGGCACTTGTTCCCTCACCTTTCCAGAGCCCCTGGGCTGAGAGAAGGGTACTATTAATATTAAGGTTATCCAGCTGATTCACATGAGTTCTTGGCCCCATCCCTGCCCAGCCACCAAAATAAATTTCAAGTGGACTGAAAAGAATTAAAGGAAAAAAAAGAACCAAACCATGGGAAACAAGAAGGAAATGATGAGCAATTTTTATTATCAGTCCTCTGGATGCAGAAGTAAAGTGAAAACTGGTGGAAGAAATCGCAAAGGAAAAGCTTCAGAGATCTGTCTGCTCAAAGATGTATATCTTGAGGACTCAGAAGGATTACACAAAATTAAGACAGAGACAGCCAACAGGTCTCTTCCTAGGTTACTGTTGTAAGCTAGCTGTGAGCCCGTACGTGCTCTGCACTGCGTTCTGTCCTTACACGTGGAGAGGCCAGGTTGTCCCCAGGGATCTCCCTAAAGTCCCTGACTTTTTGAGGGGTGTGGCCCAAGCCCGTAACAGTTCTTCACTCCTCTCTACACTGTCCTTTATCAGATATATGTTTTGCAAATATTTTCTCACAGTCTGTGGTTTGTCTTAACTTTTTCCAAGAGAAGTTTTTGTTTTGAATAAAGTCCAATATATCAGTTTTTTCTCTTATGGTTCATACTTTTTGTGTCCTGAGAAATCTTTGCCTAACCCAGGGTCACAAAGATTTTCTCCTCTGTTTTCTTCTAAAGGGTTTATAGTTTTAGATTTTACATTTAGATCTATTTTGAGCTTGTGTGTGTCTATGTATATAGTACAAGTATTGATTGAAGNTTTTGCATGTGGATATCCAGTTAGTCCAGTACTATTTGCTAGAGTCGACCTTTTTCCATTGAATTGCCTTGGTACCTTTGTTGAAAATCAGTTGTCTGTTTATACATGGGCCTATTTCTCATGCCTTTTTTTTAACAGGCTCTGCCAGACCATGAGGATGAGATCCCAGAGACAGTGCAGACTGTACAGCTCATTAAAGATCTGGCTAGGGAGATCCGCCTGGTGGAAGTAAGAAGCAAGGGAGCAGGGGAGGCATTTGGGAAGGACTCAAGTGGAAGGTCAGGCTTCTGCAGTTGTCATGAGAGCTCAGGGGAAGGGTTGGGAAGACTCCACCAAAGACCTTATTCATTCATTCATTCATTTATTCACTCATTCAGATAATTATTATGTACCTCAAGTGTGCATTGGGCTAGGTGCTTAGAATGCATAAATGATACAATGCCTGCCCACAAAGAACTCACAGTCTAGTAGAGGACTTTAGACATAGTCTACTTGTTCTGAGCCTCAGTTTTCTTCTCTAAGGTGGGGATAATCATACCTACTCAGGGGTTGTTAAAAGATTAAGTTAATTCAGGTTGAGCAATTACAGTGTTTGGCACACAATAGGTGCTCAATAAATTCTGATGGTGGGTCATGGTGGTGGTGGGTGGTGGAGGTCATAGTAGTAGTTGTTTTTTGTTGTTAGTAATATTTTGACTCAGTCTCTACATTCTACAAAATGACAGTTCTTCCGTGTTGAAGATGATTACAAAGCCATGTTTCAACAGGTGGCATATACCACGAGGCAGTAAGGTGTAGTGGTAAGAGACTCAGAGAAACTTGGATTCTGGTTCTTGCTCTGTCACTTACAAGCCTTCAGAGCCTCAGTATCCTTATCCATAAAGTGGGGACACACCACCATCTCAGAGTTTTGTGGGGATTAAGAGCTAATGTATGTAGAGCCCCTCGCACAGTGCCTGGCAGAGTAAGTACTCAATAAATGTGAGCCATTGTTATTAACAGACTTTGCAGCAAAGAGAGAATTCAGTGTGGGCTGGTGAAGTAGCAGAGACACCAGAGAAGAATTGGACTTGAGGATGTTTAGATTTTGCTTAGGCTCAGAAGCTATAAAGTTAATTTTAGTGCCCAGGGTATAGGCACTAAATTCATGCTGAAGGGTGGTCAAAGAGTGAGCTATGGGGAAGTTGGGCTTCTAGCCTCACTGTTGGCAGTATGTTTCCCTGCCTACATGGTAGCTTACATTGTCTGTCTACCTCCTACCCTATTTTCCTCTGCTCCTATCTGTCAGAATCCTTCAGGGTTTAGTTAAAAGGCTTACTTTCCAGCTCTTCCCACCTAAACCAGAACTTTGGAATGGTTGAAAGAGTACTTAGAGACGGATCATATCTGGCCCCATTGGCTTTCAAATGTCTTAAAGCAGTGGAATTCTTTTTTTCAAATGAGATCTTACATGGAAGCCAATATATATAACCAATCAAAGCATAGTTGCTGTGACTAAAATGAAGGTGGGAGGCTTAGAGCTCTGCTTGTTCCTCTTGTTTGCCCTCCACCTCCCTCCTGTCCCCTGGGATCCTCTCAGGAAACTCAAAGGAGCCACAGATGATCTTGGAAAATTATCTTTCTAATCTCATTCTTTAATTTTACAGCAGAGCAAACAGCCCCAGAGTGGTTAGATTACTTATTTGAGGTCACAGAGTAGGTAGCAGAATTAGGACCATATCCTATCTTCTCTCAGATCCTACAGTCCTTAGAGTTGGAACCACACAGTTTAGCTCAGTTCTTCTATCTCATATCATCTGCTCTTGGAGTCTTTTCTCTCCGGTTTTGACAGTAGTGCCGGGCTTTTCCTCTGCTCGTCTTCTCTGTACTCATCAATGGCTAGGTAAAGAAATGCCACCTAGTAAATTCTTGATAACTCATTGTACAAAAAACTAGGGTGTGCATATGTGGAGCATCTGTAAGCAACTTCCCTGGCAGTCTGCCCATGCCGTGAACAGACCTCTTAGCACAGAGAAAACCCTTGAGTAAGCTCTAATCCCCTCATGTACTAACACTCTTGTAGGATATCTTCCAACAGAACGTTGGGAAGACGAGCAGTATCTTTGGGCTGCAGAGGATCTTCCCAGCCGGCTCCATTCCCTTAACCAGGCCAGCCCATTCCACTTCAGTGTCCATGTCCAGGCTGTCACTGCCTTCCAAAAATGGTTCAAAGAAGAAAGGCATGAAGCCCAAGGATCTCTTCAAGAAGGCAGAGCGAAAGGGCAAGGAGAGTTCAGCCTTGGGGCCTGCTTGCCAGTTGAGCTATAATCTCATGGACACGTATAATCATCAGGCACTGAAGACAGGCTCTTCCCAGAAAGCAAAGGTGGGTGCTGGGCCATGGGTTCAGCCCAACACTTTTGGGTCCCTTGGAGGAGCAGGATATCAGAAGGATAGTCTGTCCTCCCACCTCCCTTAGGGCCCCTGGTGTTTGGCTACCAGTCCCACTCATTTAACAGACATTTATTGAGGCCTTGTCTGTGCTGGGCACTGTGATAGGTGCTGTTGATATAACCCTCAAGAGGCTGACAGGCTAGTGAGAAAAATAGGCATAAAAACAAATAAGTGCAGTGAAGTGTTGTGGGTGCCACAATCAAGGGTGTGTGTGGGACCTTGAGACACAGAGGGGAGATTATTCTGTCTGGGTAGGGGTGATGGTCAGGAGCTATTTTCAGAAAACATGACACTTGAACTGAATCTTGAAATGCTGGGATGGGAATGACATGGTATATGAATCTCAGGTTGGAATCTTGAACAGTCCTTGAGAAAAGTTCCTCTCCAGAGCTCCACCTTGCTTCAAGATGTGGTGCCTTCCATGGGCATGTGAAAATGCTCCCTCCTTTTTTGGAACATGGTCTACAAGATTGCTACGTTTCCCCTGAGCCAGCCATACACTCTCAACCTTCTGTTCTGTGAATATTTGGGATGGGGGTGGGGGACAGTATAGTAGAAGGCCTTGGTTCCGGTGGTTTTGACAGTGAACTCAACCAGTGAAACCAGAGGGAACTGGCTATCCTGATTTACATGGGAGTCCCAGACAGGTGACAACTGAGCCTCCTCCTTCCTGCAGTTCAATGTCACTGGTACCTGCTTGAATGACACTGATGATGAGTCGCCAGACGTGGATCTTGATGGGAATGAGGGCCCGCTGGCACTGTTGATGTCTAATGGCAGGTAAGGTCAGGAGAAGAAGCACAGTGATACTGGGACTATCTGTGGCATCGTGCCACCAAAATTGTACTGATTTGGGACCTGGGGCTGGGACATGGTTTGGGGAGGGACTGTACTTGGGGGAAATAACCAGATATTATCAGGTATCAGAGAATCCTGGTAGTGTTGTGGGGGTGGTATGGAGGGAGAGGTTTGGAATCTAATTGGCAATTCTGAGAAAAATCTTGTGTAAGTTCTAGAAATTTCAGCAAGTCAGTGGGTCAGAACTGCTGGCAGGGATAAATAGTATATCATGCTGGTTAAAGCTTTAGATTTATAAACCTTTTGTTACTTGGTATATAGGAATGTATACACCAAGTGTATAAATATGCAGAAATATTTGCACAGGTGTGTAAAGAGATATGGCCAGTGCTCACTGCACCATTGTAATAGTAATTGGAAATGTTCTTCTTTAAGGGTTGAATAAATAAAGTGTGGTACACCTGTAGAATACCATGTAGCTGTTAAAAAGAATGAGTTTACTATCTGTTTCATGGAAAGATGTCCAACATACAATCCCAAATGAAAAAAATCAGGTTACAATGTTATACATAGGAATAGTCCTATTTTAATTTTTTAAATAATAAGACCTGTATAGTTTATTCTAGTATCAAGTGGGACAAGTCCCCACTCTTTGTTCTTAATTTTAAAAAATTTCTATGTTATTTTTGTACATTTTCTCTTTCAGATAAATATTAAAACCACTTTTATCACTTCCCATTTAAAACGTGATTTTGAGTGGGTGGTGATATTTTAATATTTTAAAAACAGGTGTGCAAATGTATGTGTATGCATGCTTCTTTTTTGGTATCATTAATCTACAATTACATGAGGAGCATTATGTTTACTAGACCCCCCCAATCACCAAGAGGCCCCAACATAACCCATTAAAGTCACTGTCCATCAGCGTAGGAAGATGTTGTAGAATCACTACTTGTCTTCTGTGTTGTACTGCCTTCCCCGTGCACCACCCCCACATTATACATGCTAATCATAATGCCCCCTTTCTTTTCATGCCCCCTTAACCCTCCCTTCCCACCCATCCTCCCCAGTCCCTTTCCCTTCTGTAACTGTTAGTCCATTCTTAGGTTCTGTGAGTCTGCTGCTGTTTTGCTCCTTCAGTTTAGCTTTGTTCTTATACCCCACAGATGAGTATAATCATTTGATACTTATCTTTCTCCACCTGGCTTATTTCACTGAGCATAATACCCTCTAGCACCATCCATGTTGTTGCAAATGGAAGGATTTGTTTTCTTCTTATGGCTGAATAATATTCCATTGTGTATATATACCACATCTTCTTTATCCATTCATCTACTGATGGACACTTGGTTGCTTCCATTTCTTGGCTATTGTAAATAGTGCTGCGATAAACATAGGGGTGCATCTATCTTTTTCAAACTGGGCTGCTGCATTAATAGGGTAAATTCTTGGGACTGGAATTCCTGGGTCAAATGGTATTTCTATTTTGAGCATTTTGAGAAACCTCCATAATGCTTTCCACAAAGGTTGAACTAATTTACATTCCCACCAGCAGTGTAGGAGGGTTCCCCTTTCTCCACAACCTCGCCAACGTTGTTGTTTGTCTTTTGGATGGTGGCAATCCTTACTGGTGTGAGGTAATACCTCATTGTGGTTTTAAATTGCATTTTTCTGATAACTAGAGATGTGGAGCATCTTTTCATGTGTCTGTTGGCCATCTGAATTTCTTCTTTGGAGAACTGTCTATTCAGCTCCTCTGCCCATTTTTTTTATTAGTTTTATTTTGGTATCATTAATCTACAATTACATGAAGGACATTATGTTTACTAGGCTATCCCCTTCAACAAGTCCCCCCCACATACCCATTCCTCTGCCCATTTTTTAATTGGATTATTTGCTTTTTGTTTGTTAAGGTATGTGAGCTCTTTATATATTTTGGATGTCAACCCATTGTCGGATCTGTCATTTATGAATATATTTTCCCATACTGTAGGATGCCTTTTTGTTCTGTTGATGGTGTCCTTTGCTGTACAGAAGCTTTTCAGCTTGATATAGTCCCACTTATTTATTTTTGCTTTTGTTTCCCTTCCCTGGGGAGATATGTTCATGAAGAAGTCGCTCATATTTATGTCTAAGAGATTATTGCCTATGTTTTTTTCTAAGAGTTTTATGGTTTCATGACTTACATTCAGGTCTTTGATCCATTTCGAATATACTTTTTTATATGGGGTTGCACAGTGATCCAGCTTCATTCTCTTACATGTAGATGTCCAGTTTTGCCATCACCATCTATTGAAGAGACTGTCATTTCCCCATTGTATGTCCATGGCTCCTTTATCAAATATTAATTGACTGTATATGTTTGGGTTAATGTTTGGAGTCTCTATTCTGTTCCACTGGTCTGTGGGTCTGTTCTTGTGCCAGTACCAAATTGTCTTGATTACTGTGGCTTTGTAGTAGAGCTTGAAGTTGGGGAGTGAGATCCTCCCCACTTTATTCTTCCTTCTCAGGAACGCTTTAGCTATTTGGGGTCTTTGGTGGTTCCATATGAATATTTGAACTATTTTTTCCAGTTCATTGAAGAATGCTGTTGGTAATTTGATAGGGATTGCATTAAATCTATAGATTGCTTTGGGCAGGATGACCATTTTGACAATATTAATTCTTCCTAGCCAAGAGCATGGGATGAGTTTCCATTTGTTAGTGTCCTCTTTAATTTCTCTTCAGAGTGTCTTATAGTTTTCAGGGTATAGGTCTTTCACTTCCTTAGTTAGGTTTCTTCCTAGGTATTTTATTCTTTTCCATGCAATTGTGAATGGAATTGTTTTCCTGATTTCTCTTTCTATTAGTTCATTGCTAGTGTACAGGAAAGCCACATATTTCTGTGTGTTAATTTTGTACCCTACAACTTTGCTGAATTCCCATATTAGTTCTAGTAGTTTTGGAGGGGAATCTTTAGGATTTTTAATGTACAATATCATGTCATCTTCAAATAGTGGCAGTTTAACTTCTTCTTTACCAGTCTGGAATCCTTGTATTTCTTTGTTTTGTCTAATTGCCGTGGCTAGGACCTCCAGTACTATGTTGAATAACAGTGGAGAGTGGCATCCCTGTCTTGTTCCCGATCTCAGAGGAAAGGCTTTCAGCCTCTCACTGTTCAGTATAATGTTAACTGTGGGTTTATCATATATGGCCTTTATTATGTTGAGATACTTGCCCTCTATGCCCATTTTGTTGAGAGTTTTTATCATGAATGGATGTTGAATTTTGTTGACTGTTTTTTCAGCATCTGTGGATATGGTCATGTTATTTTTGTCCTTTTTGTTGATGCGGTGGATGATGTTGATGGATTTTCGAATGTTGTACCATCCTTGCATCCCTGGGATGAATCCCACTTGGTCATGGTGTATGATCCTCTTGATGTATTTTTGAGTTCTGTGTGCTAATATTTTGTTGAATATTTTTGCATCTACGTTCATCAGTGCTATTGGTCTGTAATTTTCCTTTTTGGTGGGGTCTTTGCCTGGTTTTGGTATTAGGGTGATGTTGGGTTCATAGAATGAGTTTGAGAATATTCCCTACTCTTCTATTTTTTGGAAAATTTTAAGGAGAATAGGTATTATGTCTTCTCTGTATGTCTGATAAAATTCTGAGGTAAATCCATCTGGCCCGGGGGTTTTGTTCTCGGGTAGTTTTTTATTACCATTTCAATTTCTTTGCTCATAATTGGTTTAACTTTTGTGTTTCTTCCTTGGTCAGTCTTGGAAGGTTGTATTTTTCTAGGAAGTTGTCCATTTCTCCTAGGTATTCTATCTTGTTAGCATATAGGTTTTCATGGTATTGTCTAATAATTCTTTGTATTTCTGTTGGGTCTTTTGTGATTTTTCCTTTCTTGTTTCTGATTCTGTTGATGTCTGTTCATTCTCTTTTTCTATTAATAAGTCTGACTAGAGGCTCATCTATTTTGTTTATTTTCTCAAAGAACCAGCTCTTGGTTTCATTGATTTTTTTCTGTTGTTTTATTCTTCTCAGTTTTGTTTACTTCTTCTCTGATCTTTATTATGTCCCTCCTTCTGCTGACTTTAGGCTTCATTTGTTCTTCTTTTTCCAATTTCTATAATTGTGATGTTAGGCTATTCATTTTGGATTGTTCTTTCTTGTTTCAGTATGCCTGGATTGCTGTATACTTTCCTCTTAAGACTGCTTTCACTGCATCCCACAGAAGTGGAGCTTTGTGTTGTTGTTGTCATTTGTTTCCATATGTTGCTTGATCTCTATTTTAATTTGGTCATTGACCTATTGATTATTTAGGAGCATGTTGTTAAGCTCCCATGTGTTTGTGAGCCTTTTTGCTTTCTTTGTGTAATTCATTTCTAGTTTTATACCTTTCTGGTCAGAAAAGTTGGTTGGTAGAATTTCAGTCTTTTTGAATTTACTGAGGCTCTTTTTGTCACCGAGTATGTGGTGTATTCTTCAGAATGTTCCTTGTGCACTTGAGAGGAATGTGTATCATGTTGCCTTCGGATGTAGAGTTCTATAGATGTCTATTAGGTCCATCTGTTCTAGTGTGTTGTTCAGTGCCTCTGTGTCCTTACTTATTTTCTGTCTCATGGATCTGTCTTTTGGAGTGAGTGGTGTGTTGAAGTGTCATAAAATTAATGCATTGCATTCTATTTCCTCCTTTAGTTCTCTTAGTATTTGTTTCACATGTGCCGGTGCTCCTGTGTTCGGGGCATATACATTTATAATGGTTATATCCTGTTGTTAGACTGACCCCCTTAATCATTATGTAATGTCCTTCTTTATCTCTTGTTACTTTCTTTGTTTTCAAGTCTATTTTGTCTCAGGCTAGTATTACAACACCTGCTTTTCTCTCTCTGTTGTTTGCATGAAATATGTTTCTCCATCCCTTGACTTTTAATCTGTGCATGTCTTTGGGTTTGAGGTAAGTCTCTTGGAGGCAAAATATGGATGGGTTTTGC